CTTATGCATGTACATTTTAATAATTCCATCTATAATTAAAGCTGTGATGCATTAAAGGACAAAGTGTAGAGTACATAATGAACAACATGTGTAATGATTTGAAGCAACAGTCAGAGTACCAGTTTCTTGTGTTTGTTAATGTACAGCCATGTTGGCTCACTCAAGCGCTTTGCTTGAATCTCAAGGTCAATAATAAAGGTTGAGTTGCAGTAGATGTGAGCCTGAGGTTAAAATTCCCCAAAGCTTAGATGATTAGGTTTGAATTAGTAAATCCTGAAGTTCTTCCTTCAGTTCTGTCGTTTCTACCACAGAGACATATTCACCAGAGTTTTGGAGGGCTGAATATAAGCTGTTGAAGAATTGAAAGCAGCTTGTGTGCAATCAGCAGCGAGTCTGCTCAACCTGGGAAATCCTGGGCCTCCTGGAAGCTCATGGAAATGTTCTCATCAGGCGTAGAGCCCGAGCAGGAAACAATTTGTCATCAATCAATAATTAGCATGTTATAGCGCTGCCTTCACAATTTGTTCTTGAAGCACACCATGTTTGAGTCCCTGCGTCCAACCGACTGAACATCACAGAAATGTTACAACCCGGAAGGAAGCCATCTGGCCCATCGTGCCTGTGCCAGCTCTCATCCCACTTAGCCTAGATCCAGTTCACAACTGGCAAGGCTTAAGGACCCCCCAGTGTGTGCAGCCACGCTGCTGTGGTTTTGCTCACTCAAATCTGCACAGAAATGACTCCTCACTAATTTAGCGGCCAGGAAAAACCCTCCCCACTATTATGTTAGTGTGTAGAGTTAATCGAAGCATGAAAGATTCAATTCCCCGGTGACTGGGCTGTCCTTCAAGACCCAACAGTGAAGCAGACTGGCTAGTTCACAATCAACAGGCAAATAGCAGTTACTGATTTGTTTCAGGTACCCAATTAGAAATTTCGCCACAGAACATGCACTTTGTTTCAGCCTTTTGCCTCGAGCTTACACAATGATAGATCTGCCATCCAAAGTCACAAGTTTACAAAGAAACATTTGGCATTAAACATTTGCGATTCTGAAGGGGCGTAATATTATAGGCGCTGTGAGATTTTCTTTCCCCCTCGGCTGGGGAGTCTAGAACACAGAGGGACAAGCTCCAGTTAAAGGACTGAACCTTTAGGAATTGGAGGAGGAAATACTTCATCATTCAAAGAGTTTGAGAGTCTTTGGAATTCTCAACCTTAGGATTTTAGATTTGCCAGTGTTGAATATATTGAAGGTTGAGATAGACAAACACGTTTTTCTCGTCTCTCCAGTTTTTAGTCTCTTGGGGCAGCAGGGTGGCTCAGTGGTTAGCACTGCTACCTCTCAGCCCAACAGGGTCCAGGTTCGATTCCACCCTCGGCTAACTGTCTGTGTGGAGTTTGCACGTTCTCCGTGTCTGCATGAGTTTCCTCCGGGTGCTCCGGTTTCCTCCCACAGTCCAAAGATGTGCAGGTTAGATTGTTTGGCTGTGCTAAATTGTCTCGTAGTGTCCAATGACGTGCAGGCTAGCCATTGGAAATGTAGGGTCACAGGTTTAGGGTGTGGGGGTGCGACAGGTGGGATGCTCTTCGGAGGGTTGGAGTGGACATGATGGGCCGAATGGCCTGCTTCCACATTGTAGGGATTCTATGATTCAATGAAATCAAAGGAATTGGGGTACAGGCAGAAAACTGAAACTAAGGCAAATGATTGGCCATGATTGTATTATATGGTGGAACAGTCTGGAAGGAATGTATGTTGAATTCCTGCGACAATTATACTATGTTCACGTTGTTTGCCCCAGAATGGGAAAGAACACGAATTGGTGAACTATTAACCCATACACTTTTATACTTGGATTCTAGAATATTCTTCACCCATCTTAAATTTCCTCATAATTGATATGATGAATGCCCCTTTTCGTTCATAATATTTTTAAACTCCGAAGAAGATTGACATTCAAGACCTTGATATCCAACTGTACATGACCAGGTATAGTAGTAAAAGTCATCCCAGAATTCATGTCATGGTAGTTTTAAAGGAAACGCTTAATCTGGCACTAAAGTGGCATGGTGTTTCGAAATCGAACATCACACTCCTAAGATATCACTGCAGGAGTTCCATAGTGCAAAGTGTTCTTTTTCCAATTATCATCAGCTACAGTATTTCATTAACGATTTTTCCATCCATCATTGGTGAATGGCTAGACAATACTCTGTCACAATAAAAAAAGAGCCTGTCCCACTTTACGGCAGGGACTATCCAAGAGGCCTCCATAGAAGGCAGCAGTTATAATTCTTGCAATCTCAGCCAAGAAATAAGGCAACTATATCCCCACAAGAGTGCCAACCTCTTTGTTTGAAACTCCCATGGTAGCCCTCCCTTAGGACAGGATTGTGTGGCTTTTCTGGAATGAGCACGAGTCTGAAGTTGACTGAAGCAGTCTAAGATAGTGCCTAGCCTATGGTTGAGTTGGTCACTATGACATCGGTGGCACAATTGCGGCGCTACTCCTTCTTCTGTCTTTTGCCCCCAAGCTCCGGTGTTTCCTACCTGGCTTACTGGTCTACTCCTTCCCAGCCTTCATCCACACCTGTTCCTTTTCCCTTAAACCCTCCCCTGCATTTCTTTCTCCCTCTCCTCCAACCTTTCTTGCTCCTTCCAATCATTTTTCAATAAGAAGTGGACCCCTCCTTATTTCAGAGTGCAGTGATGATATGGTTCCTTATCATCCTCCTCTGAAGTAACGTTCTGAAGGTATCCTCCTACGTTTCCCCCTTCCCCTCCCAGTCTTCCACAAAAACAGATGTGGGATTCCAAGGGGCATTCCACTATTTCCCCCGTATCAAAGAGAAAGTGGTGGAAATTGTCTTGAATAGCTGTCTTAAATAAACAATTTTTGCAAGACCAGACAGACGCATCTCCACTGTTGCATGAAGTAGTCATTTTGGCCACATTTGCAGTGAGTCTACAGGTGATAAGCAATTGTTTCAAAAAAGAAATGTCACTGGGGAGTATCCAATTGGATCTAAAATATCTCCACTATGACTCAATGCCGGGTGTAACATGCAAATCTATTGCAAAGCAGCACATGAATAAATCTCACCAGCTTCTCCCGCACCCTCGGGGATGTAAAGCCCAATGACCTTCGTCCAAACATCTGTCCTGAAAATTCTGCTGACTGCTTCACAGGTGTGACAGTTTCCACCATAGCCCTGGAGACGGTCAACTCCCGTTCAGTTAGCTTAGGTTAGCTCTGTTGGCTGAATGGCTAGTTTGTGGTGCAGAGTGACACCAACAGCACAGGTTCAATTCCCACACTGGCTGATCTTACTCAAAACCACCTGACCCTAACCCTCACCTGAGACATGGCAGCTCCCAGGTTAAACTCGCCGTTCGACTCTGTCTAATGAGAGAGCAGGCCTCTGGTCATCTAGGAGTAGAGTAACTTTTACCTTTTTATATTGATTATACTTTGATACCAATCGGGGATTGAGTCAGATTACTTTGTGAAAATCATATGTATGTTATTGGATTTTGGCATGTATAAAAATCTAGTTGGAAACATAAAAACAGGAGTAGGCCATTCTGCCCTTTCTGCCAACATTCAGCAAAATCATAGTGGAACTGGTTGTGGCCTCAACTCCTTTCCTTGTCTATCTACTCGGCCTTGAATAAATTTAAGGGTTCAGCTTTAAACCTCTCTGGAGGAGAGAATTCCACACTCTGGCTCTCTCCGAGGGAACATCTTTCTCCTAAGCTCTGTCTTAAAAGAAAGACCTTGTTTAAGGAACAAGTGTCCTCTACTTTTAGCCTCTTCCATAACAACAAACATTCTCCTGGTATCCATCCTATCCAGTCCTTCAGGATCTTGTTTGTTTCACAAGGTTCATTCTAACTTCCAATAGATACAGGCCTGACCTGTTAAATCCTTCTTTGTAAGATAAGCCCTCATCCCAGCAATCAGTCAACTGAACCTTCCCAGTTATATCTTCTTTCCAAATAAGGAGACCAAAATTGTACACAGATGTGGTCTCATCAATGCCTTGTGCAGGTGCATGTAAAACTACCTGATTTGTATAATCTATTCCCCTTTGCAGTGAACAATAACATTTTGTTTGCCTTCCTAAGCATGTGCTGTATCAGTATATTAACTTTCTGTGATTCGTTTACCAAGACTCCTCAGATCCCTCTTTACCATCCAATCCTGCAGGCCCTTCCCAGTTAAGTATATTGGTTCTTTGTTGTTCCTGTCAAAAAGGGCGTTCGTATTTATCTATGTTCTACTGTATTTGCTAAATTTTCACTCATAGAATCCCTACAGTGTGTAAAATAGGCCATTCGGCCCAACAAGTCTACACAGCTGCTCTGAAGAGCATCCTACCCCATCCCTGTAACCCTACATTTCCAGTGTCTAATCCACCTAACTTACACATCCTTGAACGCTACAGGCAATTGAGCATGGCCAATCTACCTAACTCGCACACCTATGGACTGCAGGAGGAAACCAGAGCACCTGGTGGAAAATCCATGCAGACACTGGGACAGTGTGTAAACTCCTGAGGCTGGAGTCGAATTTGGGTCCCTGGTGCTGTGAAGCAGCAGTGCTCACCGCTGAGCCACCAATGCCACCCACTCGTGCACTGAAACCTGAGTATATTCCTTTGCAAACCCTCCACTTCCTTTTCACAACTTAATTCTCTACCTCACTGAGAAATAGCAAGAACTGCAGATGCTGGAGTCAGAGATGACAAAGTGTGGAGCTGGAGGAACCCAGCAGGCCAGCTTCATGCTTTGTTATCCTTAATTCTCTACCTGTCTCATCTGCATCCCAAAAATGATCCATTCAGACCAACTCTCTAGTTCCTGTAGGCTATCCAATCCTTGATCCATGCTAATATGTTACCCCCACTTTAGAAATTGGGTGGAAGTAAACCTGAACGTCTGCAAATAAAACTGCCAACCACCATCTGATTTTCTTTCTGGTCTGGTTGTTTAGAAGATGCTGCGTCGATGGCGGAAGAGTTCCTCACTGCTGATGTCTGTCAGCTGGGCAATGGAGAGAACTGTTCAACACTTTACTCTGTGGAAAGTAACGGTAAGGCGATCTTAGTTTCAAACCAGTGTATTCAGGAAGTGGGATGAGGCGGCATGCTTCAGCAGAACATTAGCTGGCAAGATGCAGTGATGCCCCTGTTAATCGCAGGTTAAATTACCTTCCATGTATCTTCAAAGTCAAACCTCACATGCACATTTGTTCCCTGTCAGAGTTGCTCTCGGAGAATGAAGAGGACTCGGAGCATACTTGTGAAACCCTGCTGATGTGTATCATTACTGTACTCAGCCATGGACTGCGAAGTGGCGGAGGCGTTGGAGATGTGCTCAGGAAACCTTCCAAAGAGGTACTGTCTTTAAAACAGTAATTATGTAGTGTTGGTGCTGTCTGGCCTGCGAGAGACTAGTGGGTTGAATGCTTAGCATTCTTAGCTGGTCAAGCTTTACTTGCCAATAAACCCATGGTTGAATACTGATCCACCAAGTCCAGTGCCCTGCTTCTCTTTGACACAATGCACCGATTGCACAGTATCTCTTCTCCTTCCCAAAGACAAATGCATTCATGACACGAGCCTGGGACACTAACTTCGCAATTATTCACATTCCAGTATGAGAACTATATCTCAGTCTTATCTTTCTTAAAGCATTTTGGAAATAAATGCAGATGTTCCATGTTTTGTGAATGTCGCACTTTCTTAATAATATAAAACAGCAGGAATTAATTTTGTGTGGTATATAAAACCAACTGTGCTCATTTGTAAAATATATTCCTGGTAACCAGTGGTTACAGTCGAAGGAATGGGGGAGGCCATTTTAGGTCTGAGGTGAGGAGAAATTTCTCCATCCAGAATGTGGGTGAACCTGTGGAGTTCTCTGCCACAGGAATAAGTTGAGGCCAAAGCATTGAATGATTTCAAGAAGGAGCAAGGCATAATTTTGATGGCTTAAAGATTCTGGGGAGAAATTGGGAACACACTATTCAGTTGGATGTTTTAGCCACGGTCGTATTGAATGACGGAGCAGGTTCAAAGGACTGGATGGTCTATGCCTGTTCCTATTTTCTATGTTTATACATAATGTGTGGAAATCTTTCAGGCATGTTTGAAGGATACTTAAAACAAATTTATTTTGTGTCTACAACTTAATATTATTTTAAACCAACTTGGAGAAAGTTGGTCCAGTGTGGCAACCCCATAGCCTTGGAACGTCCCATTTTATTGTACTAAACTGATTTTTTTAAAGCACTTGTCCACTTATAAATGCTGCATCTGTTGGCTGACTATCCCTTTTTGCAGGAACCACTATTTGCTGCTCGTGTGATCTATGACCTTCTCTTCTTCTTCATGGTCATCATCATTGTCCTGAACTTGATCTTTGGTGTCATCATTGACACTTTTGCTGACTTGAGGAGTGAAAAGCAGAAGAAGGAAGAAGTTCTGAAAACTACCTGCTTTATATGTGGTACGTATTCACACCCGCAGTCGGTGTTTGGGAGAGATGCCTACAGTCAGGAAAAACTCCAGGTCGAGGCCACTAAACCGTCTCTCTAGAAAACGTGGTTTCCTGGGAACTGTTAAGATTCCAGCAAATTATTTTAACAACAAAACTGGCAACTAACAGCCAATCATCATTAATTGGTGCGTTCTCTTGGATTTGGTTCAGTAGTTTGAACAGCAGCAGCAACAGAGCAAACCTGGATAAATACCTGAGGAGCAGGGTCAGTCACAACAAATGTGGAGCTGAATCTAGGGGCCGAGATCCGCAGATGACTTAGTCTTAGCTGCTCAGGAACCAGGGTTGCAGACTGAGTCAGTAGTGTCTGGGGAGAGATAAAATACTTAGGATTTTTAGTTGTAGTCTGCTAGGAATAGACAGTGAGACAGAGAGAGAGAGAGAAAGACCGGAGTCTGGTGACCAATGGATAAGGTTGTGTAAACCATTCCTGGGTTATTGCCTGGAGGTGATAAGGTTGGTTTAGTTGATGAGGTTCCAAAAGGCAGGAGAAGTCAGCCATGCGGAATACTCCTCCTGCAATATGTGGGAAATCAGGGACAATGTTCCAGTCTCCATGATGACTATGTATGCAAGAAGTGTGTCGAGTCGCAGCTCCTGATTGGCTGCATGGAGCAGCTGGAGCCGCGGACGGACTCTCTGGAGCATCCGTAAGGCTGAAAATATCGTGGATAGCACATTTAGTGAGCTGGTCCCACTACCAGTAAGGGCTACACAGACAGAAGAGTTGGGTGACCACCAGGAAGATTAGTAAATGTGGGTGGGCAGGCAGTGCATTAGTCCTCAGTGGCCATTCCCCCCTCAAACAGGTATACTGTGCGGATACTGTTGGGAGGAATGGCCTCTCGGAGGAAAGCAGCCAGATCAGTGGCACCACAACTGGTACAGGGAGGGCTGAAGTGTAGGAGAACAGTAGTAATGATAGGGGACTCTATTGTCAAGGGCACAGGCAGGTGTTTCTATGGCTACAAATGAGTCTCTAGGATGGTGTGTTGCATTCCTGGTGTCAGGGACAAGAATGACTCTGAGCGGGGAGGGTGAGCAGTCAGAGGTTGTGGTCCTGGCCTTTATTTCCATGATTCTATGATTCAAATTATGGAAAAATGTAAAAACAACAGGATTGTTGTGGTGGGTGATTTTAACTTCCTCTATATTGAACTGCACTTGCTTAGTGCCAAGGGTGGAGGGTAAGTTGTGAGGTGTGTCCAGGATGGCTACTTGAACCAATATGTAAATCGTCCAACCCGACCTGGTATGGGGAATGAGCCTGGCCAATTGATCAATGTTTCACTCGGGGAGCATTTTGGGAACAGTGACCATAATTCCCATGAGTTTTAAGTTACTTATGGATAAGGATAAGAGTAGTCCTTGGGTGAAAGATACTAATTTGGGGAAAGGCTAATTACCACGATATTTGGCAGGAACTGGAGAATCTAGACTGCGGACAGGTGTTTGAGGGTAAACCTTCACCCGGGATGTGAGAATCTTTCAAAGGCCGGTTGATTACAGTTCAGGATGAGCATGTTCCTGTGAAAATGAAGGATAAGGATGGCAAGCTTTGAGAACCTTGGAAAATTGAGAACCAAGTCAAAAAGAAAAAGAAGGCTACATAAGGTTGAGGAAACTGAAGAGAGACAGAGCCTTGAATACAGAGAGAGCAGGAAAGAACTCCGACAAGAATTAGGAGGGCCAAAAGGCGCCATGAAATGTCTTTGGCAAACGGGATTAAGGAAAATCCCAAGGCATTGTATACATTGATAAGGAGCAAGAGGGTAGCTAGCGAAAAGTTAGGTCCACTCCAGGACAAAGAAGGGAATTTATGCGTTGAGCCAGAAGATATCAGTGAGGTCCTTAACTAATACTTTTCATTGGTATTCGCAAAGGAGAAGGACATGCTGGATGGGGAGTCTCGGGAGGGGTGTGTTGATATTCTGGAACATTTCAATATAGAAAAGGACGTGCTGTTGGATGTTTTAAAAAGCATTCAGGTAGGCAAGTTTTCTTGATGGGACCTATACCAGAATGCTGAGGGAGGCAGCTAAGAAAATTGCTGGTGCCTTTTGTATCCTGTTCAATCACAGGAGTGGTCCCATAGGATTGGAGAATAGCTAACATTCTTCCTTTATTTAAGAAGGGCAACAGGGATAATCTGGAAGATTGCAGGCCAGTGAGCCTGATGTCATTGGTAGGAAAATTAATGGAGAAGATTCTTGGGGATAAGATTGACTCACATTTGGAAGAATATGGACTTGTTAGGGAGTCTGACTTTGTGTGGAGAAGATCATGTCTCAGAAACTTGATTGGGTTTTTTGAGGAAGTGACAAAGATGGTTGAGGGCAGGATGTTATCTACATTGGACTTTAGCAAAGCCTTGACAAGGTCCTCATGGCAGGCCGATACAAAAGGTGAAGTCATGGGGAACTCACTTTGAGATGGTAAGATGGATATAGACCTGGCTTAGACATAGAACACAGTAGCGGTGGAAGATTGTTTTTCTGGCTAGAGTCCTGTGACCAGTGGTGTTCCACAGGGATCAGTGCTGGGACCTCTATTAGAACATAGCACACAGAACTATTCAGCACAGTAACAGGTCCTTCAGCCCATGATGTTGTGCTGAACATGATGCCAAATGAAACTAATTCCTTCTGCCTGCCATTGGTCCATATCCCTCCATTTCTTGCATATTCATGTACTTATCTAAACGTTCCTTAAATGCTCCTATTGTATCTGCCTCCACTACCACCCCTGGCGTTCCACACTCCTACCCCTCTCTGTTTTAAAAAAAAAAACTTGCCCCTCACATCTCCTCCTTTGAACTTTGCACTAACCTTAAATGCATGCCCCTTTAGTATTAGACATTTCAACTCTGGGAAAAAGATTGACCTTCAACCTGTCTATGCATCTCATAATTTTATAACCTTCTATCAAGTCTCCCCCTAGGCCTCCATTGCTCCAGAGAAAACAACCCGAGTTTTTCTAGCCTCTCCTTATAGCTCATACCCTCTAATCCAAGCAGCATCCTGGTAAACCTCTTCTGCACCGTCTCCAAATCTTTCCTGTAACGTGGCAACCAGAATTGAACACACTACTCTAAATGTGGCCTAACCAAAGTCTTAAAGAGCTTCAACATGACATCCTGACTCTTGTACTCCATTCCCCAACCAATAAAGGCAAGCATGCCATACACCACCTTTACCACCCTATCTACTTGCATGGCTACTTTCAAGGAGCTATGGACTTGAACCCCAAGATCCTTCAGTACATCAATGCTGTTCAGAGTCCTGCCATTAACTGTATACTTTTCCTTAACATTTGATCTCCCAAAGTACAGCACCTCACACTTACACTGATTAAGCTCCATCTGCCATTTCTCCATCCATACCATACATCTGATCTATATCCTGCTGTATCCTTTAACAACCTTCTACACAATCCACAACTCCACCAATCTTTGTATCATGTGCAAACTTACTAACCCACCCATCTACACTTTCATCTAAGTTGTTTGTTTGTTTGTTTATTTATTTATTTATTTATTTATATTTTATATATAGTCACAGTTGTCTGTAATATATATATGTGTGTGTGTGTGTGTGTATGTATCTATATGTAAATGTTTTGGAGAAATTTGTGGGTGGCCTGATTAGTAAGTTTGTGGCCAAAACAAAGATCGCGGGAGCTGTAGATGGTGAGGAGAATTGCCAGAGGCTGCAGCAGGATATAGATAGGCTGGAGACTTGGGTGGAGAAATGGCGAATGGCATTTAATCCGGACGAGTGTGAAGTGATGCATTTTGGAAGATCTAATGCAGGAGGCAAGTGGACAGTAAATGGCAGAACCCTTAGTAGCATCAACATAGAGGGATCTAGGCATACAGGTTCACAGTTCTCTGAAAGTGGCAACACAAGTGGAGAAGCTGGTCAAGAAGGCACATAGTATGCTTGCCATCATTAGTCAGGGCATAAAGTATAAACATTGGCACGTAAAGTTACTGCTGTATAGACCTTTAGTTGGACCACGTTTGGAATATTGTGTACAGTTCTGGTTGCCATGCTGTCAGAAGGATATGGAGACTTTGGAGATGATTCAGAGTCAGTTTACCAGGATATTACCTGGTTTGCAGGGTATTAGCTATGAGGAGAGTTTGGTCAAACTTGGTTTGATTTCACTTGAGCATCGAAGGATGAAGGGCGACCTGATAGAAGTTTACAAAATTGAGAGGAGTGCATAGTCAAAGTCTTTTTCCCAGGGTAGAAATGTCAATTACTAAGGGGCATCAGTTTAAGGTAAAAGGGGGTACGTTTAAACAAGATGTGAGAGGCAAGTTTTTTTAACAGACCATGGTAAGCGCCTGGAACGCGCTGCCAGAGGAGGTGGTAGAGGCAGATACATGTCAGAGGCATCTTGACGGATATATGAACACGCAGGGAATAGAGGGATATGGACCACATAGCAGCAATAGATTTTTAGTTGAGAAAGGCATCATGTGTCAGTCTTGGTGGGTCAAAGGACCTGTTGCTGTGCTGTGCTGTTCTTTGTTCTAGTCTCTGTGGCAACATCTCTTCCAATCAGAGACCAATTGCTAGCCAATCAGCACTCTCCTCATGCACTATACTTGCTGGTTTTCCCTTTCAACGGGTATTCATGTGAAATGTCCTGATAAGTGCAAGATGAAAAGATTTGAGAAAATGTATTTTTTTTCCAACGATTGAACAACTTATTTACATTTTAAAAATCCCACTGAAGCATCTCTGAAGAAAGAGAGCTTTACATGGAAACAAAAACTGTTACATTGAACATGTGAGCTGTTGTCCTCCAATTCGTATGTCTTGCCCCTTCTACCATCTTCTCATTAAACACTTGAGTTCAGATGAAAAGGAACAAATGCTGGGATTTGAAATTGACTGGGAATTCCCCAATTCTGAAGAACCCAAAACTTTAACTCTGATTTCTCTCCACGGATACTGCCTGACCTGCTGAGCCTTTCCAGCAATTCCTGTTGTTGTCTGTGAACGAATGCTGGGAATTGGAAATAGAACTTGACCATACTATTTGATTGGAATGGCTCAGAATAATATTTGAACAAGAAAAACTGTTGTGTTAATGCATTCTGTGCCCAGGAATAGTTGGAAAAGATGCTGCAGTGCAGGCTTTATTCGTGGAAAGGCAGATGTCACAGCATCCGACTGCACAGAACAGATGAGCATTGAGTTAAATAAAGTTTTTTACTGTTTCAGATTGTGGTCTTACTTTTCAAATGATTTGAAATGCCTGAAGTTGTTACGCACTACTTTGATTGATTGTAAAATCTCTGAAACCTGTAAAATGCATAATCTTCAAGTAATGGATCCTCTCAGTCATAAACTTGTCTGCATGATGATGATGAGCTGTTTTTGTTTACACTTCACTTGTGCACATGTAATTAGTCACACGTTTGGTAATTAGTTAATTTATTGTTTCTAGGCTTGGAAAGGGATAAATTTGACAACAAGACAGTAACATTTGAAGAACATATCAAGGAAGAGCACAACATGTGGCATTATCTATGTTTTATCGTTTTGGTGAAAGTCAAGGACTCCACTGAATACACTGGGCCAGAGAGCTACGTAGCAGAGATGATCAAGGTTAGTGGCAACTTGACAATGCGCAGTTAATGAGATAGTAGGAACTGCAGATGCTGGAGAATCTGAGATAACAAGATGTAGAGCTGGATGAACACAGCAGGCCAAGCAGCGTCGGAGGAGCAGGAAGGCTGACGTTTCGGGTCTCGACCCTTCTTCAGAAATGGGGGAGGGGAAGGGGGTTCTGAAATACGGTTATCGATCCCCTCCTATCCCCTACTCCCACCTCAAGCCCCACCCCCATCTCCTACCAACTAACCTCATCCCGCCCCCTTGACCTGTCCGTCCTCCCTGCATTGACCTATCCCCTCCCTAACTCCCCACCTACACTCACCTTTACTGGCTCCATCCCCACCTCTTTGACCTGTCTGTCTCCTCTCCACCTATCTTCTCCTGTATCCATCTTCTATCCGCCTTCCCCCCTCTCCCTATTTATTTCAGAACCCCCTTCCCCTCCCCCATTTCTGAAGAAGGGTCTAGGCCCGAAACGTCAGCCTTCCTGCTCCTCTGATGCTGCTTGGCCTGCAGTGTTCATCCAGCCCTGCACCTTGTTATCTCTAATGCACAGTTAATGATCATTTTGAGTGGTATAAATAATATGTTAAGATATGTAGCTATCATTGTATCAAGTGCCTGATCCAAAGGACTAAAATGGATTTGATTTTGTCCTTATTCAATCTTGTGCTTGTTACCTTTTATTCAAAAGGGTACTGGACTCTTTATTGGGAGTTTTGCTCGTGTGTGTTCAATCTTTCTTAGTTTGCCTCAGCATATCACTTCCAGTGAAATGTTTTAAGCCTCCGAACGAATGTCTGTCTTTTATTTTTCTTCCTCAATTTTTTTTAAAAAAAGGTATAATAAGTTTTATTTCCCATTCCACTTTGTCAGAATGACAATTAGAATTTGCAAACGTGCCTGACCAATTCTGTGTGACAGGCAAGAAGAATGAAATGAAGTTGCTGAAAGATTATTGTGCACCAAGGTGTTTGAAGCCACAGCTTACTGATAACATGCGGTTCAGAAATACTGCTGTACAAAGTTTATTTCCTCCCAAAATTTTTTTCCCCCCCCCCCCCCCCCCCCCCCCCCCCCCCGCAGCCTCTTGTTGATTCATTTTTCACCACTTTGATCTTCTGAAATTTTTTCAGGAAGTGAGCCTGATGAGATCTGACATGGTTAGGGATGTAAATCATGTGGTGAGGTAAGAAAGCTGTGTAAAAACCAACCGATCAGGTTCCTGACTCAAAACGTGAGGCGATGAGTCCTCTCTGTTCACCCCTCGAGCTTAAGATGCATGGGCATATTGAAAATAGGGAGGAGGAGGCTGTTTGTGGTAGAAAGGAAGAAGCTAGGACTTTTCCTTCATGCTCCAGATTGATCCAGGGTGTGTTAGGCTTTGGCCCCAGTAATGAAAAGACAGAAGAGTCTGAAATGATCAGAGTCCCAATGTCTTAGCAGGTTGCAGGCTTGCACAGAGAGAGAATGTGAAAGGGCACCGGTGAAGGAACTGCGTATCAGTAAAGCTGGTGAGCAAACGGTTGATATCGGCCTCGTATGTGAGATTTTGACCTCTGTGACAGAGATGTCTCGTATGGTGATTCGGTCATGAGTGTTGCACCTATGGAGATAATGCACCATAAATTGAGCCCAGCTTTTCCCAGAGACATACCAAATGTTAAAATTTTTAAGATACGCACAGTGCCCGATTTTCATACCAAGGTTGATGGAAAGCATAGGTCAGGTTTCTGTCCTAAATGAGGATGGTCATTTAATATAACTAATTAAATTATAGCCACAGGTAAACAGATAAATAATCATTGGCGTATAACATTACTAACTAAACTCTAATTCCCTTATAAACTCCTTCTTTTACGCACGCACGCACGCACGTGCACACACACACAGAAAATAGATTATCAACAGAAGAAAAACTGAAAAGTCCATTCTTCCCAATTCAGATGATGAGATGGTTTTACTTTGGCATCCAGGCCTTTGGTGTTAAATTATCTTTCTCTGGAGGTTTCCGCTGGTTTGTCCAGAATGACTGACTGACTGGTTCACTTGGAAATGTCTCTGATTTATCAATTCAAAAGTCCCATCTTTGAGCAACTGTTGCAGGAAAGGTATCTAGTTTTCGTCAAGTTTAAACTGACTTTTTTTACCATGGAGAGTAATAACAGCACTACTTCTGTCTCTCTCCTTTTTTCTTTTTTGCTCTTTGCCCTCGCTCACGCGCTCTCTGCTCGCGCTCTGTATGTGCCTCTAACGTGTTTCCAGTTCCACCCTGCTCGGTTAGCTGAGAACCACTTGTAAACGACCCTCCGTTACTGATAGTCTGCACATCGCAGGAACCCACAGACACAAAAAACTGAGCTCTCACAGGGCATCAGATTCCTTGCTGTGAAATTATGCAACCATCCTGGTAAACCTCTGCTCTGAATTAAACAGATTTTTTTTTTCTCGTTACATTTCACAGTTTTTTAAGGCAGAAAGTAAATAGAAAATGACAGCCCTTACATGCGGGTGGTTATGGATGGGGATGGGGTTCTTTGAGGGGGAGAACAAAGAAGAAATGTTTCCAGTTTCAGAAAGAAAGCTGTACTGTTTACTCGGGCCTTTTAAATTCCACCCCCTCCCCACTAATGCCAGTCCTCTACATTTCTTGTGCTAAGCTAAACTGCTTTAGCACAAGCACCATCATCCTCACTCAATAGGGGCTGGTTGTACCTAAGGTTTATCCCCTGTTGGTGAATCTAAGTCATTTCACCAGTAATTCTGAGCTGAGGCCAGTTATCTCTTTGAGGTTTGCTTCATGTTCTCAGGCAGGTATGCTGTATACATGCATGTTCTTGTATTAGCAAACTGCTGTATCTTTGAATCTGGCCATGTAGCTGGTTAATATAAAACCATTGTTTCAAAATCATGGTTTGTCCACAGTTGCCTCAACTTGCCAATTACCTTTTGGATACTTTCCTGCTTAATGCTGAATTAATAGTCTTATTGTGCAACAGGGCTTGATTTCCTATTGTTCCATGTTGTTGATGGGCCATGGAAAATGAGCTTCATATGTTGGAGTTTGCTTTGTCCAACCTGACATGTGGCTAACAATCTCAAGCTGAATTCTGACTAACTTTGAAGGAAGTACACTGTCTATACACCAGTATGGCTTTTAGTCTTTCTTTTGGCTACTCAACTGAGCTTGAAACACAATTGATATTGCTATACTTTCTTTTCCTGATTATGTGGAGACTTGGGCTGTATTATTGACCTCGCATTTGGATCATCTTTGTGCCTCAGTGCTATTCCTTTTCGGTACAGTGATAGTTCAGTAGTTGTGTCAAAATTGTGCCTTTTCTTTATTCTTACCTGGGATGTGAACACTGCTGGCAATCTGTCCATCTCTAATTTGAGGCAGTTAAGAAGCAAGAACATGGCTGTGAGCCGAGAATTGCATGTAGGCCAGACCAGAAAGGAATGACAGATTTCTTTCCCTTAAAAAAAATAGTGAGTGAACCAGATGGGTTTTTTTTTAAACAACAATTGATAGTCTTGGCAACAGTGACCATGAAAGCATTTCTAATTCTAGATGTTTTTTCTAAAATAATTGAATTTAGGAATTGAATTTAAATTCTACTAGCTGCCACGATGGCAAGTGAACCCATATTCCGGAGCAATTGTCCTGGCCTCTGGATTATAGCCCACTGGCATCACCACTTCCTACTGAATATCTTTATTTCTCTCATACCTTGTTATTTTTTTCATAAAGTGGAAAATTAAGTGCTCAAGGGGGATGACTGGGATGATGTCATTTTATATTGAAGGTTCGGTACCAGTTTACGTTGGAATAGGCAAAGCCTGCTTCTGCCTCAGCTTCGCAATAGTGACAGTTCAAGTTGGGGTGTCAGTATCTTCCCCATAAGTTTCAAACTTCACGACATCTAAGTATCGTAGTCAGTAACTCAGTCACAGTATTGTAGACTTGGTGTGCAGTTGGGGTAAGATTTCAGTACAATGACATGGCATGCAGCCCAACAATAGACTGTAATAGAGGTGACTTCTCATTTGGGCAACTCCCCATTTTATTCCGTGATTCACTTCAACCACCAAGGCCAGCAACATCTTACGATATATTTTTTTGATAAGCTGTATATATAAATTCCCTAGTGAAGCAAGGTTCAAATCTATAAGAAAGTCACACTTCTATAATGCTTCAGTAATGATTGAATGACTTTGGATGGAAAATGAGAGCATGTGCAGAGTTGTTTGTGCTACAGTTTCCTTTAATTATTTTTTTAACGTCATGCTAATTATTTTAGTAAGGCTTGGAACCTTTTCACCGGGCTTTAGGACAATACTTATGGCCCATTTTAAAAACAAATTTCGATGGCATGGAGTGAAGATTGCCTCAAATGACAGCCAATTTTCAATGATTATTTTCTCAAAGTTCATGCCCTCAGCAATTTGATCAAATGCCACTGCATTGACTGGAAACCTAACTCAAGTAGCCAATAGCGGATGGGACAGATTCAAAGAGAGAGAGAGAGAGAGAGGAAAACTAATGGTCTCCATACAATAAATAAGGAGAGACCTGTTTCTGTTGGCAGGAAGTTAGGTAACCAGAGGATAAAAATGATAATAAAGGCACATGGCAAAAGAACAGGAGAGGAGAGATGGAATTTTTTAGACCATGAGTTACTTTTAGGAATATATTGCCCAAACGGGTGGTGAAAGCAGATTCAGCAGCTAGTTTCAAAAGGGAATTAGATAAATAAAGGAAATATTCACAGGGCCACAGGGACAGGAGAGCACGACTAATTGGTTAGCTCTTTAAAAGAGCAGGCGGTGGCACAAGGAAGTGAAAGGTTTATACGTGCGCTGCGATTTTAAGAATAGCGAACAACAATCTGAATTCTGAACCTTTTATCTGTCCAAAACGTCATGGATTTCTCTGCACTGATGCTCAGCAGCACATTTTATTGAAAGCACAGTGCTAACAAGGAGCA